AAAAGCTATAGAGCAACCAAATGGGCTTGCCAAAAAGGCATTGAGAGTGAAATCACTGTTGGGAACAGCCCTGTGCCAACTGCGCTTCTGCTAGACTGTACACTTACTCTTTTTTTTTTTGTTTTTTTGGTTTGGTTTGGTTTTTTGTTGTTCAGTAGAACAACTTTTTCTTTTAGGGGAACAGTGCTTGGAAGAAGAATGCCAATCTTGCTGTAAATTTGCTAAACTATATGCTGGAGATAACCAAACTAGATTTGGGGGGAGGGGGAACCCAACTAGTTTTTATGGCCTGATACAGTCTGGGAGTTTGATAATACCCATGGCTGATCCCTTCTGTCACTATATGAATCTATAATGTAGAAGACAGAAAACAGAAGGGTAAAGACAGATCAGGGACAGAGTGATAATGACAGAAGGCATAAAAAAAAAAAAAGTAAATGGCAAGAATGAGAGAAAATTGAGGCAGAGTAATTGCGTTCATGTTCAAAAGAGTAGCTACCAGCCCTGAGCAAGACCAATATAATGAGGTAAATAGAGAAGTCATTAAAGCAGTGCTGATCTCTGCTGACCAACACAGAAATGGAATAAATGTACAAAAATGCAATATGAAAAATGCAATATGGAACTGTGCAATGCAAACTGTGGCTGCTGCTTGAACCCACTGTATTAAATATTCACTCTGTAGTTCTGAGCGCTAAGCATTTTTAAGCTGAATGCTCCTTTTGGCTGTATCTGAGCCAACAAATTGCAGAGTAATTGTTTGCCAGCAGTGGCCTATAGCAAAATGCCTACGTTCTGCTTGCTGTACAGGTTCTAAAATTGCTGGTGGAGTTAGGGCTGGGAAGCTTCTGTGGCCAAAGGCAGGAAACGGATTTTGCAGTTTGTCCTAGAGAACGGAACGGTGCATTGGCTCTGCATTAACTCTTACTTTGAGTGAGCAGCTGTACTGAGACATATGTGTGTTGTTGGGCTTATACCTTGTACCATCTGTATAATGCCTCAGCCTTGAACATGTCTAGGTTATAAAATAAATATGTCATTTTATACATGCTAACATGTAGCTTGTTCTCTTGTCTGCCTTAGAGTTCTGTGCTGTGCATGATCCTGGGTTGAGCTTTGAGGGGATAACCTCCCGAACTGTTCTGTTCTCCGCATCAGTTTTGGCTTGCTTTTGTGTTTTAGAAATGCATTCGATTCTGTTTCATTTAATGCCAGCCACGTAAGTGGTGCAGATTGAAAGAATGTCTCGGTGAGTGCAACGCGGTTACTGGAGGATCAATTTCTCCCTGGAGTCTGAGGGAGGGTGGTGAGGAATATTTTTTGGGAGTACTAAGAAATAAGTGGATGTACCTAACCTGTGTGAGCAGATGAGCAAGATAAACAGAGAGAGCTTTGCAGAGTATCCATTAATTAATGATATTTTGTGCTTGTTTTCTCACTTTCCAGTCTAGTTGCTGGGAAATGCCTTTGCAATACAGATGCCACATCTAAGATGCCACAGTGTTTGTGTATAGACATGATGTGCTTTTTTCTAAAAAGCATTGATTGCTGAAGAACCAGAAAGAATGGTTTGTTATTAAAGAAAAAAACAGCTATTTCCTTGGTAGAAATTTTGCGCTACTCTCTTTTCCTTTGCTGCTGAGGGGGTTTGAGGAGGGTCAGGCAGCTCAGCTCTCCGGGTGCCTCTTGGCCTTGCCGCCAGTCCTCAGCCCTCTTGCACCATAGCGCTGGGAGCTGATGCCATGGCGGCTGCTCCGCAAACGGCCGCTGGGTACCACGGTGTGAAACGGGGGCACAACCCCCGGCTGCGCCGGTGTCGGTAGAACGCGCTCCAGCTTTCGTGCTGCAAGCCTGCTCGCTCTGCGGCTGATGTTAGCTGTGCGAGGGCGGGGGTGGTGGTTTCTGCCGTTACGGCCCATGACGTGCGTTTGACGTTGCTTGATGAGCGAATACTTGAGCGCAGCGACAGCGCTGTCGCTCTCGGGCAGTGGGGGGCGGGGCCTGCGCAGGTGGGGCGTGGGCGGGGCCGCGGT